CGAATAACTACCCTCTCTCAAATAATTACCCTCTTTAATAATTACCCCTCCCTTTCCTTCTCTAATGACTAAAATATTGAAAAAACCATTGTTCATTTAATTATTGAAACATTATAAGAATCAATATAAAAAATAAATGGGTTTCCTCCTCGATTTATTGAGATATACACCAAATTTAGCCCATCTTCTCGATTAATTACCCCCTCCAGCGAAAGTTATCCCCTCCAGTTACTCTATCAGATTTGAAACAATACTTCCGTATCTTAATTAGTATTTACTATTCTAATTTTAGATACATTTATTTTGGGTCTTTTAAATAATTAAAATTATTAATTTATTATTAATAATTATTTTCCTATACCGATCATTCACCAGTAATTTTTCCCAATCTTCTATTAATTAAATAAAAAAATCTTTATAAGTCTGTTGCATACTTAAAACAATTCTTTATTTAATCTTTCATTCCTTTTTTACCATTTCCTCTTCCCACACTTTCACCACATTTGCTGTGCGCATTTTTCTTGGGCCAGTGGACAGTAAAGACTTTTAAAGGGAGGGGGGAGGGTGGGGGGGGGGGGGGGGACTTTCTAAAAATCTATTGTTTTGCCGCTTGATAACATAATAAATATTTAATGCTTTCCAAGAAAAAATGAAAAGAAAATAATTATGATTCCGGTACAACCTGCCACGGATTTTTTTTGTTTAAATACACACAGAGATTTTTAAGTTTTAAATAAGGAAATAAATTAATTTAAATAAATCCTTTAAAAAAATTTTTTTGATTTAACCTTTAAAAAACTTTACTCTCTTCCCATCTTATTTATTTTTTTTCTTTACATAGTAATGTAAATATTAGTCCGATTATTCATATTTGTACTTAAATATTTTTTTTTCTTTTGTGTTACATATTTTTTGATTTAAAAATTTAACAATGAATAAATACACAAATAATATAGTTATTACTTTAATTCTCGATATATTTTAATTTATTTATTAAATATATTTTCTTTTTAGATATGTACAGTCGTGGAAAAAAGTATGGAAGCGCTAGAAAATTTTCTCTTAATTTTTAATTTTTCATTCAAAAAATACGTTCTATATACCAATCGAAAGCTCTATTCGTATCTCAGTTGACATGTTTCTGCATTTTTCATGAAATTGAAAATTGGCCGAGATAATCCGGATCTACCGGATATACCAAATCCCACTTTTTCGGAAAAATTTTTCGGAACAAATTTAACAAACCCAAATGATAAAGCATATTTTTCTGAGTATTTACCACAAAACGGCTTAGAAATATCTTTTTCCGGAGCAGAGATATGATTTTTTGAAAATCGCATTTTTCGTCAATTTTTGCAAAATTTTCAATTTTTAAGGGAAAAATGCGATTTTCAAAAAATCATATCTCTGCTCCGAAAAAAGATATTTCTAAGCGGTTTTGTGGAAAATACTCAGAAAAATATGCTTTATCATTTGGGTTTGTTAAATTTGTTCCGAAAAATTTTTCCGAAAAAGTGGGATTTGGTATATCCGGTAGATCCGGATTATCTCGGCCAATTTTCATTTTCATGAAAAATGCAGAAACATGTCAACTGAGATACGAATAGAGCTTTCGATTGGTATATAGAACGTATTTTTTGAATGAAAAATTAAAAATTAAGAGAAAATTTTCTAGCGCTTCCATACTTTTTTCCACGACTGTATGTAGTAGTTCTTAATTTTACAGCTATTTTTAATCTGTATTAATTCTAAATAGCTGTAAAACCTGCGTTAATTGCTCTCCCCCACTTCTATTAATTACCCCAACAATAATTACCCAGGGTAGTTAATAAAAGTAGTTAATAAAAGTTTTATGGTATATTTTATTTTTAAAATATTTATTTTTAAATTAGTAACTTTTCTCTTCTAAATAATTTTTTGTTTAAGTTGTTTATCGCGCAAACTCTTTTAAATCTTTATATATAAAATTGAAACGACTTCTAATAAAACAAACATTTTTCCTCATAAAATTTTTTTCTTTTTCGGAATCAAACAAATCGCTAGTTTCAATGTTCCTATTTATTTATTTATATATCTTTTTTTAATTTCCTTCTTTATAAACGTGCCCATTTACGCCTTTTTATTTTCTGAAATTATATTTTCAAGTTTTCTTTATTTTACAAAATTTTCTCTTTCAGTATAAGAAATTTTGAAATGTTCTATTTATGATTTAAAATCAAATTTAAATTAATTAGTGCTTATTAATGAATACAAATAATATTAAAAGTTTATCTGCCCCAAATGAAATTTTTATTAAAACAAAAACAGAAAAGGAGGAATTTATTAATTTTAATTCAAAAATTAAAAATTTTAAAATTGGAGAACATCAAAGTAGAAGATTAAAAAGTAGACAAAAATATACTAAACAACATTTATTTAATTCTAATGATTATGTTGCTAGTACATCTAATAATGTAAATTTTAAAATAATTTTTGTTTTGGATATTTAAAATCATATCAGAAAATAATTAAATATTTCCGTTTAGATTTCCTCACATTACAATTTTATTTTTTAAATAAAAATTTGTTTCTTTAAATAAGCTTATCCACAACCACCTGGATAACAATATAAACTCTTCTTTTACAACAAAAATTTTTAACTTTAATTCCCCATCACCATCAACTTCTCAATCATCCCCTTCTCCTTCTTCTACTTCATCAACACAACCACAGACTTCTTTTTTAAATAAATTATTTTTTCAAAAATATTTATCACCAAAATTAACTCCAAAATTTAATTCCAAATTATATCCAACAATTCAACAAGTTTGGAAAATATTTTTAAAAATTAAAAAAAATTTAATTTTTAGAAATATTTAGCATCAAAAAGAATTAAAGGAAAAACAAAAAATAATTTTTTAAATTTAATTATTCAAACTTTGCCTTTCTTCTTCCTTTTAATTTTAACATTTGTAATGCTAAAACAAAATTCTCAAATGGAAATTTTACAAAAAAGAATAACAAAAATAGAGCTTAGATTTGAGGTAAAAATTAAAAAAAGGTGTCAAATAAATAAATAAAAAGCTGTAAAAATAAGAGAAGGATTAACCTAGAGAGGGGAAATTGGATGAAAAAGTAGAGGAAGGAAAGGGGATTTGTGTTTGCACATGCAAATTTTCTTATTAATCGGATATTTATTTTAACTAATTATTTCTAATAAATGGATAGGGAATTTTGTAGATATTAATTAAAATAAAAATTAAAAGAATTTTAAAAATTAAGGAAATTAAAAAAATAAATTTACCGTATAGGCTAAAATAATGTGAAACAAATGCTGAAACAAATAGTTACCCCCTCCCTATTAATTACCCCCTTCAGCCAGAGATCGGAAAAATAATTACCACCCTTAAAATAGTTATAATTAGACTTTCTAAAAAAGCTTAAATAATTAATAATAAATAATTAATAATAAATAATTACCCCTTCCCTATTAATTACTCCCTCCAGCGACAGGTTAAAACAATAATTACCCTGTGTAATTATTTTAGCAAATACGGTGGTTGAATTTAAATATTATTCTTTAAAATTTTTGTAAAAATTATTTTCTTATTCAAATTAATCAAATTTGGGTAAATTCTAGAGATGTGCGAGACTCTTGGTCTTGGTCTTGGAACCAAGACTTTTCTTGGTTTTTTTTCGGTCTTGGTCTTGGTCTTGGTCTTGGGGTGTTTGTCTTGGTCTTGTCTTGGTTTTATTTTTTGGTCTTGATTTTTTGGCCTCTTTGGATCTACTGATTGGCCTTCCAAAATCCTCAAAATTTTCGCCTGCGGCGCTGAAAAAGTGAATTTTTTTGGCCTACCGCCTTCTAAAATTCATAAAATTTTCGCCTGCGGCTGCAGGAAAAGGAAGATTTTTGGCTTCTTGGCCTTAATAATTCCCAAAATTTTCGCCTGCGGCGCTAGAAAAGGAAGAATTCTGGCTTCTTAGCCTTCCAACATTTTCGAAATTATCGCCTGCTAATATCCCCCTTAACTAAATAATCCACCCAAATCCTCTTAAATAATATATCTCATTGATTTTCCACCCGGATAAATTCACCAAAATTCTTTGAATTTCGGATAAATTCTTTGAATTTCGCATAGATTTTTCGAAATTATAGGTGATTGTGCTGAAGTTGACTGTGATCGTGTCAAAATAACAAAAAATAAACCAAAAATTTGACCTATGGCAACTAAAAATTGTCTCGAGTTTTGTATTATTTTTGGTCTTGAGTCTTGGAGTTTTGGTCTTGGTCTTGAGTCTTGATCTTGGAAAAATTTTTGTCTTGGGTCTTGAGTCTTGAGTCTTGGAAAAATTTCGGTCTCGCACATCTCTAGTAAATTCCTTCTCTTCTTTAATTATTTTGTTTGAATTTCTAAGCGGTATTCATCAAAATTTATTTTTTGAATTAAACCCTTTTACATGAATAAATTAAATTGTATAACCATGAAATAGAGATGGAATTTATAGGGATATTATTTAAAAGAGAAAAGAACATCTGCATCTTTTATTAAAGGGGTTGTGATGCCTAAATTATAGAGTGGGAAAGAAAATAATTGGTTAAAATTTATTTATTTTTTGATGAAAATTAAGATAAAATAAAATTTGGAATGAGAAAATTTGCATTTTTGTGCCTGAGGGGAAATTGTAACTAATTAATTGAAAAAATAAATAAAATAGTTTATTTTTAAAAAATAAATTTAGAATAGTAGAAGATTATACGAAAATAAAAGATTTGTGCAACGAAGGAATCTACGATCTCCACGTGAACGTGAAAAATCAACTTGTTTATGTCCACAGGGTAGCTATATTAAAATTAGAGACCAGATCGAGAAGAGAATCTCGAACGAAAATCTCGATTATCGGGATCGAGATTTTCCGAGATATCTCGTACGAAACTCCCAGTTCGGTTTCTAATTAAAATATATAAATTATTTTTAAAGAAATTTATTTTTAAAATTAAATGCAAAATAAAAACAATTATGTATTTTTTAAATTCTAAAGGTGTAAAAGGTGATGCTGGTCTTCAAGTAAGTTACGAAGTTTTTTGCTTTTTATTTTTGTTAATTTTGTTTTCTTTAATATTTTTTTGTGCATTTTTTTAAATGTTTTTTTTTCAAATAAAATAATTAAAGCGAAATCGTCGTTCACATTATCCATCAACTTCTCTTCCAATTTCTTCACTTCCTTCTCCATTATTCCCTCAAACTGTTCCTTGTCGTTATTTTCCCACTTCTGATTCGCCTTGGAGACGGGTTTTTTCATCACCCTCACAACCTTCAATTCCAACAACTTTTAAAAGGAAAACTCAACGAATAAGACCACTTGTTAATCAAAAATTTTGTTTTTTTTTTGTTTAATTTGTGTTTTGTTTTAGCCATTTCAAGATGCTTTGGGTCGTGAAATTCGAACTTTTGGATTTCTTTTTTCTACTGATGGACGCCGAATATATCTACGAGGATTGCCTGGAAGGCCTGGCCCGCCAGTAATATTTTTTAAAAAATATTTGTTGATTGTTGTGTAAAATTTTAAGAGTGGTAGTTTTTTGTGTAGTATTCTCCTTTGTTTTGTTTGTTGTTCGAAATCAACATATAATTCCCAAATTAATTTTTAGGGAGAGAAGGGAGCTAGAGGACATCCTGGCTTCCCGGTATTTTAAATAAATATATGTTTCTGTGTAAATAAGAAATTTAAGGGCCCAATTGGGTTGGATGGAGCACGTGGATTACCTGTAAATTTACCAAATATATTTATTTTTTAAATTAAATATAAGAGAAAATGTAAAAATTAAATTGAGAATATTTTTAAATAATTAAATTTTGCTGATAATTTTCAATAAATTATCGCTTATTTATTAAACCTCCCAAATTGTTTCAGGGTCCAATAGGAAAGTCAGGTCCAAAAGGCGATAAAGGTGAACAATGTGCACCATCAATACCCCAGGAAACTGTTAAATATGTTCAAGTAAATTTAAGAAATTAAAAACTTAAAAAATTCTCCTTATTTTTTAGAGTTTACCAAATTCTGCTGGTCATCAGCTCTCCCCACCTCCAGCAGTAATTCAAGGACCTCCAGGTCCTCCTGGATTGCCCGGCCCACCTGGTCGTTCATTACCAGGACAAAAAGGAGAGCGTGGATTGCCTGGATTTGATGGAGAGTCTAGAATAGGACCTAAAGGCGAACCTGGAGTACCTGGCAAAACTGGACATGTTGGCCCTAGAGGAGAGAAAGGAGAAAAGGTTTCTGGAGGAATTAATTTTAAATAAATATTTAAAATTTTAATTTTCCATTTTCCTTAATGTTTTGTTTTTTTAATATTTTTATTGTCTGTATATATTTAAGGGCTCTATGGGGCTGCCTGGACGTGATGGCCGTAATGGGCAGCCTGGACTTGTTGGGCCTAGAGGATTTCCTGGACCTAAAGTATTTTTTATTTCTGAATTTGTTGCTCTTTTTTCTTTTTAAATTTTCTTTGTAAAGGGAGATCAAGTAATCCAATACTCAGAGGATAATAAACAAAAACAACATCGGCAAAAACAAAATAATCATGAAAATTGTCAATGTCAAGATGGAAAGCCAGGAAAACCTGTAAGAACATTTGTTTACTTTTTACCTTTCCTGTCAACTTTTTTTGATGAATAATTTAAAAAATTTTTTAATTTTTAAAATTTTTAGGGCGCGAAAGGTGAACCGGGAATGCCTGGAAAATCATCAATGGAAGCACCACGTCCTTTGCCTGGAATGGATCATAAATCACAAACAACAATTATTCAGGGTCCACCTGGCCCTCCAGGACCGCCTGGAGTTAAAGGCGAAAAGGTTTTGAATAAATTAAAATTTTTATTACATAAAAATATTTTAAAGGGTGATACTGGAAGTATTGGCAAAAAAGGAAAAAAGGTACATAAAAATAAATAAATATTTTTTAATAATTTAATTAAAAAATATTCTTTCCCTTTCTTTTTCCTTTATTTTTCCAAAATTAATTCTGACGCTAATTTGTTTCTATCTGTTTAATTTTTGTGTGTTTCTGTCAGTTTTTTTTCTAATTTAAATTCCAGAATTTCCACCAGAATCGTCCAAATATAAATAAACAAAAGAAACAAACATTTTCTAAAATATCAGAAGATTTACAACAATTTACTAATATTAATCCAATTCAACAAGCAGAGAAATTATTACCTATTTTACAAGAAAAAATATTTAAAAATATTAGTTCGCATTTTGAGGTGATTTTGAATTTAAAAAATAAATTAATAATTTATTTTTTAAATATAAAGGCACATCTTCGATTTTCTAAAGTTGTGCAAGGACCTCCAGGTCCACGTGGATTGCCTGGCCCTGGAGGTGAAAAAGGAGAGAGAGGGGAAATTGGACTTCCTGGATTGCCTGGACAGCCTGTAAATTAAAATTCTAAAAAATAATTAAATGATATTTTAAGGCACCTCCCTCATTTCCAACAGTTTTTACCGGTCCAAATGCTAATACTAAACAAGGCGCTAGAGTAAATGATTTGTTTTTATTTAAATTAATAATAATTATTTTCGAAATTATTTTAAAATTGTTTTCTAAATTTTATTCATTTTCAGGGGCCGCCAGGACTACCCGGTCCTCCTGGCCTTCCAGGCCCTTCAGGTAAAACAGGCCCTCAAGGCACTATTGGTCTGCCAGGCTCTCCTGGTCCGATGGGCTTGCGAGGACCGCCTGGAATTGTTGGCTCTCCCGTAAGGATTTTTTGTGTTATTTTTGTTATTTTTTCTTGTTTTTTGTTCTTTCTTTTCTCTTTTCCTTTTTTCGTTTTTAAACAATTTAAATTTATGAAGAAAATTTAAAAAAATATACGTATGTAAGAGTACTTAACTTTTTAGGGAATTCCAGGTTCCAAAGGTGATGTAGGCCCAATGGGTTTACCTGGAATGACTGGTGCAAAGGGTGATCGTGGACCTAAAGGAGATCAGGTGGGAGATAAATAATTTAATATTTTTTATTTTTACTTTGTATTAAATTTAACTTTATAAAAATACAAAAATCTATTTTCGTTATTGTGAATATTTCAAATTAATCTCAGAATTTACTTAAGTTAAAATTAATTTCAAAAACATTTTTAAAGGGGTTGCCAGGACTTGATGCTCCTTGTCCACCTGGTCCAGATGGACGTCCATTGCCTTATTGTGGAGATCCAGCCCCATTAACAGAGGTGAATTTTATTTATTTTTTCATCCGTCCTCAATTAACAAAGCTTAAGAATTTTTAAATAAAAATAATTTAAAATTAAATATAAAAATCTGTTGTGCAGGCAAACAGCCTTCTCCTTTCATTAAATGGTCGTAATGGGAATGGGGTTGTTGCTGATAATGATGATCCTTAAAAATTACAGTAAAAATATATAAAATAAAGTAATTTAGGGAAGAAATTTTAATTAAAAAAATTTTTTTTAATAATTTTTTTGATAAAAATAAAATATAAATTTCTTTCCCTATTTATTTTGTGGTGTTTTCGAATTTTTTGTGTAGTTTGGTAGTGGTTTTTTATATATTAATTTATTTTCTACTAATTTTATTTAAATATTAAAATCCAAAAATATTTTTGTCTTTTTTGTTTTTTAATTGTTTTGCTTTTTTTATTTTAATTTTATTTCAATTTTAATATTTTAATTATTTTTAGAGATCACGCTCAAGACAAACAACGTTAAGAATCGACAACAAAAATTAAAAAAATAAGAAAATATTAAAAAAGATTTATTTTTTCTTTCAATTTTTTCAAGTTTTTGCTAAATCCTTTAATGCTTCTATTAAATAGATAATTGAAAAATAGATATAATATCAATACATTTAGACTATATGTACAATCCTCTATTTTAATATTTGTTTAACTCGATATACTATTTTTTCATTAAAGCATTTTCTCAAATAAAAAATAATTTAAATTAAGTAAAGCGGAACTGGGATATAGCTATTTCTCTCTCTTAGCTAGGGAAAAAAGTTATCGACGGCTGGGAGCGAGCCAGCATCTTCAGTTGACCGGATTACACCCAGCCGCCTATGTACTGCATAGTTTAGGAATTAAATAGTTGTGATGCTTTACAATTATTAATTTAAATAAGCGAAATAAATTAGTTTTTATATTTGTTTGCAATATATTTTATAATAAATAAACAACAATAATAATTCTTTTGCTAATATCCTTTTTTAATTAAGAATTTTGCATAAAATTTTTTTAACTTCAATTTATAGAAATAAAATTTAAATTTTCCTATTGTTGCCATTTATTAATAAAAGAATACCTTTATTTATTTATTTTTAATCATTAAACATTAACAAATTCTAAAAAAAGTTTTTTTTGACATTTTTGTTTTGACGATAATAAATATATAAAAATTAATTTTCTCATTGTTTATTTATTTTTTTTATTTTTTTGCTAAAATTAAATATTAATTTTTGTGTTTTAGTCGAATGATTCTTTTTATTTAATAATTACGTAAGAAAACAGAAAAAGAAAATACATTTAATATACATAAATATTTATAGGGACATTTATATTGTATATTAGAAGAATAAATATTTAATTCAGTTTTGGTTCAAATTTAGATTAAATTAATATTTTTTATTTAATGAATTGTCCAAAAATAATTATTAAATTTTTTTATTTTAAAGAAAAGTTGCTTTTTGTTATTTTTAAAATGAAAAAATATTTATTTTGGGATACATATTTTTATTTAAATTTTTTCTTTAAAAAACGTCACATTTTAATCCATAAAATGCCGAAAATAAAGAGAAAATAAAAAATTCTGTACAATTTACAGATTTGAATTGTTTCTTTTTCAATTAATTAATTAATTAGTTTTTTGGATACCTAATTATTTTTTTAATTTTCTATTGCCTAAAAATATTTTTTTTCGTCAAGTAAATAATTTAAAAAAATTTTTTGAATAAAAATATCTTTTTAAAAAATATTTTATCGAATAATTTTACTTATTTTACAATTCTACAAATTTATAGAACATTTATTAATCAATAATTTTTTAAATAAAATGATAATATTAATTTTTTACTACATTCAAATATTTATATTTTTATCAAAAAAAAATCATTTTTATTTGCAACGTTATTAAAAAATAATATTTTAAATATTTATTTAATTGTCTCTCTCATTTTAAATCCCTACTTGACATGCAAAACTTTTAACATTTACAAAATAAAAATAAAATATATTTTTATTCAAAATTTATTTATAAAAATATTTTTTTCTGTTCCAAATTTATTAGAAAATAATTTTTAAGAAAAAAAACAAGTCATTCCATTCCCATTCTCTATTTTTGTAAGCATTCACTTAAAACTTTTCTACTAAATGTTTTCCCATTGCGCAAATATTTTTGACACAATTTTTTGTTAAATTAAACGAATTTTTGAGTTTTATTAAATATTTTCTCTAATTAAATAATGAAAGGAAATTAAAATTAAAAAATAATATAAGTTTATTATTAATTGTAATCAAATATAAGAAAATTTACAGGATGGTTTTTGATGAGACATGATGATGAAAAAATAAAAATCCTTAAATTTAATAATTAAAAAATAAAATATTATTTTACATATACAAACTTTTCAGTTTATTATTTTTTTGGTAATAATTTTAAAATAAATAAATTTTAAAATATTTTTAAAATTCTCTTTTGCTTTAGAATATCCTATTTCGATCGACAATCCCGTTCACCGATCGTCGTGATTGTAATTACCTATTTATAAATTATAATTAGTGCAATGCTTTTCTAATATTTTAATATTAAATTGGCAAATTATTATTTATTGTTTTTCAAAATTTTGTATGAATTTTTAAAATTTATATTAAAAATAACGAGAAAAGTTACGCGCAAAAATATTAATCGTCATATTATAACTTTCTCCATTTTTTTCAACGAATCTATCAAATTTGTTATTTTAGCGTTTCCTACTCATTTCTCCTCTTCTCTATGTGCACATTTATTTTTAAAATTATTTTTTAACTTTATTTTCATTTTTTATCATTTTTAACACTTCTATCTCTACAAATAAATTTAGAATTTGTTAAATTATCAAGGAAGAGGTGAAAGGTTTTTAGAAATTATTAGAAATTTTTAGGTTTTTAGAAATTCCTTATTGAGATTTTCAACTAAAAAGTTACTAATTTATTATATTTATCGTATAATAATTTCAGAGTTAACTATTTAATTTTATTTAATTTTTAAATTTATTTATATTTTTTTAAATATTTCGATAAATTTATTGTTTACAATTTAATTGAATATATATTTAGGGACATGGGTCATAATTCACCGAATTAAATGTTTAATAATGGAGACAGATATTTTATTCTTTTTATTCTCGCGCAATTGTTTGTTTGTCTAACAATTCTTGTGATTATTTGGCGAAAGGAAATTTAAAAAAAAATAGAAAATAGGTTTTAGAAGACTACTTGTCATTTAAATTTAGAGACGTGTTTAAATCAATTTAAATTTATTTTAAATTTAAATTATTTTTTAAAAATTATTTTAACTTCAAAAACTTTTATATTTAATTTTTTAAAGATAAAATCTTTATTATTATTAACTTTATTTCCAGTTAGGTATTTTTATATAAATATTTTTGCCAAAATAAATAAAAATAAATATCGGAGGCGATAATCCTCTTTTTTATTTTTTTAGAAAACTAAATATAATTAATTATTATATTAATAAACATTCATTTTTTTAACTTTTTGCGCATCTTTTTTCTTTTCTAAAAAATAATAATTAGTTGATTAACCAAAATTTGTTTATTTAAAGATTTTAATAAAATTAGTTGAGATTTAATTCTTTAATTATTAGGATCAGGGAGAACAAAAAACTGGTGTTTTGGAACGAGGAAATAAATGGGGATATGACAATTTCGGATATAAAAATTAAAAATTAATTTAATTAACTAAAAATTAATTTGTTCAATCCATAAATAATCAGAAATTATGTCAGGATTCGGCTGGGATTCCAGTCAGAATCGGCACTCAAAACGGGCTGTCATTTCACTAAATTTTTATTCTATATCTGGAACTGTTGCTTGTAATGGACCTAACTCCAATAAAATTAAAATTTAAAAATAAATAAAAAGTAGTGTAGCAATCCGACTCTTCGGAGTCGGGTGTGTGGGGGATTGGGGTAGAACCTTCGGTATTCGGGTCGGGGTTTTTGCCAAAAAATCCGTCGGGGTTGCTACCCTAATAAAAAGTCTAAATTATCAAAATTTGTCATACAACTAAAATTTCTTTTCAATTTTATTTGAAAAGAAATAAAAAATTAAATATTATTTTTATTTATTTACGTAAATATAATTTTAATAAAAAAAACTTTATTTTATATTTAAATGTCGATCAAAGCGGCCATTCTTTAACAGCATTTCCTGTGTTATTTACGAAAAATCGCGTCACACGAAAAATGGCTAAAAAGAATATTTTAATAAAAAGAATTTCTTTTAAAGTTTTTTATTAGTTTTTAGCTAAAATAATTTGTTAGCTTTTTTAAATATTAATTTATAGATAATGATTAATTTGGAAGAAATTTTTATTAAATTTATTTTAGACTTGCTAAAATTTTTAAATTAAGCATTTTTAAGAACTAAGGAAAAATGTCCCTTTGATTTTCTAATTTTCTATGTTTTATAAATTTCTAAATAATAATTTTTTCTTGTCAAATTTAGCCTATATTTCAATTTATTTTAATAAAATTTAAACTATTCAATAACTATTTATTTTTCTATCGTTCAACATTTAATACTTAAACATACATTTATTTGTTTAAACAAACAAAAAATTGAAAATTAAATGTTCAATTTTTTATCATCCAACTATTTTATTTTAGGTTTTCCTTCTTTAAATAATTTTGTAAAAAATATATTTTAAGTAATTCATTGCAAAGTTACATAATTCTTATAGAAACAGCTCACTAGAAATTTATTATTTTTTATCGTTATCATTTCCGGTTTTGATTTTGAAAAATATAGACTAATGCACATTACAAATTTTTTTAATTTTTATATTTATACACTCCTCCAATTGACTATAACCTCACCCTAAATTTTTGAATTTTTTAACTTGTACCGAATCAATTAGTGATTTTTATTATAGAGCAGATTTAAATTATTTTGTTTTGTTTTTCAACAAAAATATTTTAAATTTTAAAAATTAAATTAAAAGCAAAACAAACAAAATTTATTTGAAATTATTTTCAATTTAGTAACTCTCTTCATA